GAGAGAGAGAGAGAGAGAGAGAGGGTGGGAGAAAGAGAAACAGAGAAGCCGCCGTTCCCTTCCGCGCGGAGAAAAACTAAGTCTTAATAAAGCTAGGCCAAGATAAATTGGTACATTAGCATCTCGGCCGTGATTCATGGTGACGTCCTCGGGCTTGGTGGACGCCGTGGAGGGGGTATGATGTATGGCCGTCGGCATTGGTTTCGTATTAGAGCAAACGGGCTCGTGTTTTAGGTCTTAAAAGCCGCGACCGTCCTTAATGGGGTGTAATGCACCCCCGGGAAACACTGTGGATGCTTGCTGCCGTGACTTGTGCTTTTCCGGACCATCTGCCAGCCGCCTATTGTCTCATCTGAGTGGCACAGCTTGATCTCCACGCGGAATAACAGCACGCGCTGTCTTTAATTTCTTCTGTTCAAATGTCCATCAATAATTCCCAAAACTGAGAAAAGATTATAATCTTTCATTTAGGACACCCTTACCGAGAAGAATATGCTACTGAATATTCGTGAAATTATAGATACTATTTTCTGAATTATTCGAACAAAGCATTTTTCGGATTATTTGAATACAGAATTATTCGAATAAAGAATTTTTCGAACAAGAAATTTGAATAAGAAATTCTTCGAATTATTTGAATACAGAATTATTCGAGTATAGAATTTTTTTAATAAGAAATTATTCGAATACAGAATTCTTCGAATTATTTGGATAAAAAATGACTTGAATGCAGAATTTGTTGAATTATTTGAATAAGAGATCATTCGAATACAGAATTTTTGAATTATTTGGATAAGAGATTATTCGAATTATTTGAATAAAAAATGATTCGAATGTAGAATTTTTCGAATAAAATAATCGGCTGAAAAGAATTCATTCGGATAATTATCTTGGATAAATATTTATTCGAATAATAGTCCAACTCTGTATTGACGAAGCCGCGATAAAGTATTGATAAACGTGTATCTATTTCTACGTTACTTTTCCCCACGAAAAATCTCCACGAAGTTAGTGCATACTCCTGAAACGCTAGGTAAATTATCCTACAAAATTTGAGAAAGAATCGCAGCGTTCTCTCTGACTAAAAAATCACGAACATGATGTATTTCCTGAAGTAAACAAACCCTCAAGAAATGATAACTGGAATTCGGGAAAGCCGGCAATGTTAATTAAAATAAAACTCTGAAGCGATGCGAGAAGCAAAGGAAACTACAATTTGCATAGATAAATATAAAATGCTTGTTTACAATTTCTTACATACGTCGATGCAATGGCGGAGCATCGTATGTATAGACTGGAATGTCATCCTCCGGATGACCGATCCCGCGGCCGATCTCGTGGAACAAGCAATTCCCGGGATTAGGATTAAATATTGATGGCCAGCTTGATACAGATTAATGTGGACTCCTCCGCAGACCGTCCCGACGGCGATTTGTCACTGGTCGGCTGGGTTCACCCCCGCAACCAGCTAGAGCTGCTGGAGCAACGGATGATCGCCACCTCGGACGTCGCACAGATCCTCCGGCCCTCTTATCTGCTCCGTTCCTCTCTCTTTATCTGCGGATTCGACCCTAGACGCTCCGCTATGATTAACTGCGCATCTCGAGATCGTTTCTACTAGGAGATACGAGTCGCCATGGGAATCTATTAGCGCCAGGATACGCGATAACGCCGAATTCAAGGATACCGTGTGAACAATTTCGTCGACCACTGCTGTCTATACAAACGCGAACAGATTCGTCTTTGTTTCTTAACCCTCGGACAACGGACCATTTATACAATTATATAATTGACGATGTTTATGGCGATTATCAGTTCTGTTCATCAATGTTTAAAAACATGTCGCTGCTCTGATTCGATGCTGAGATATATCTAAATAATGAAGTTTAGGAGAAAAGGCAACTAAAGTTTTATTTTTCCAATAATAATTTGATTCTCGAAAATAATGTAATATTATGTTCACTAAACTCTGTACTTAATATACAGGGTGTTCCACACAATTATCCTAACAGCCGAAAATGAGGGGTAGCTGAGGTCATTTGAAGTAACTTTTTCCTTTGCGAAAATGCAATCTGCGGCTCTGTTTACGAGTTATTAACGGAAAACACTGACCAATGAGAGGTGACGGCGCGAAGTTCGAGAGCCCGCAGCACGAGGCTTTGAGAGATGGTCGGGATGGACTCGAGCCGCGTTCGAAGTATTGAACAAATCGGGAAGCGAGAACTTTCCGGATTTTTTTTTACTACGTAACAGTAATATTTTTAAGAAAACGCTGTTAATCTTCACTGTACACCTTGCTTAAAAATTTCATATGTTGACCTTGACATAACCTTGACATAACCTTGACATAACTTTGATATGTCCTTGAAATAACCTTGATATGTCCTTAACATAACCTTGACGTAACCTTGATATGTTCTTGACATAACCTTGATATGTCAAGTTTATGTCACTATCACGTAGTAAAAAAAAATCCGGAAAGTTCTCGCTTCGTGATTTGTTCAATACTTCGAACGCGGCTCGAGTCCNCTTGAAATAACCTTGATATGTCCTTAACATAACCTTGACGTAACCTTGATATGTCCTTGACATAACTTTGACATAACCTTGACATAACCTTGATATGTCCTTGACATAACTTTGATATGCCAAGGTTATTGATAATATTCTTCATATTTCTCTCTAACAAACATATCCCTTACGTCCTTTAACACGATTATTATTTATTAAATTAGCTTTGCGAATCATTCGTTGAACTGTGTTCGGACACGGAATTATTTAAATTAAAATATCATTTACGTACTTTGTTAATCTTCACTGTACACCTTGCTTAAAAATTTAATATGTTGCACACAAGGTGTCATCACACTAGAAAATTCTAAGTTCTAAAGTAAGGTGAATAGCGTTTTTCTTAAAAATATCACTGTTACGTAGTAAACAAAATCTGTCAAAGCCTCGTGCTGCGGGCTCTCGAACTTCGCGCCGTCACCTCTCATTGGTCAGTGTTTTCCGTTAATAACTCGTAAACAAAGCCGCAGATTGCATTTTCGCAAAGGAAAAAGTTACCTCAAATGACCTCAGCTACCCCTCATTTTTGGCTGTTAAAATAATTGTGGAACACCCTGTATATTGAAAAAAGTAAAATGAAGTAAATATAAATATAAGTGAATATAGTAAAGAAAAAACTTTATACAAAAATATGGATATTTTAGTATCTTAGATCCAGATATACACAAAGAACATGGAACAGTGAGTTAATACTTTTGCGTTATAAATCTAAAGAGATGTCAATATCGCATTATCCAGATAATATTATTTGATATGAAATACATATTTGGTCGAAACGCACACACCGAAATGCAACCCGCACGCCGTGGGTTAAATCTGGAGACTGGTTAACCATTTTTATCGATCGAGATCTCCCGGTTCTCGATAAATAAGATTAAGAGATTGAAATAAAAAATGCGAATATTTTTCTTTCATATCCACGTTCCTGTATGTTACACATTTGCATACACTGCGAATGCTTAAAGATACGCGTTAACACACAAAAAAATCTGCTCGGCCTGAACTCAATTCTATCGAACTCTGTATACGACGGTTTTTTCCGGTCGTTTAGCGTGCAATAAATGCGTAAAGGTACGTATTATGTCCAATCGTAAGACGCTTCATAATATTAGAAGGTTTATATTATGAGACCACAAAAATAATTGCCGGCAAGATGAGGGGTTAGTGTAAGATACGCGCTATAAAATGAGATATGTATTGTTATTTAATCCTTTACGTCCAGAAGGTACTTTATTGCACCACTTTCATCGGAATGCCGCCACTGACCAAATAGGCTCGTGCTTTTTTAAGCGATTGAACTCGATTCGATTGAAAGTACAGTCGTACGTAATTTATAGCTCGATGCCGGCAAAAAACATTTTATACTTGGATGCTCTGCTTAAACAGTCCTTTAGCGACGAAAATAAAAATTCCAAGGGAACACGAGTCTTTATATTGGCACCACTTTTTCCGTTTCATTTACACTTTATAATTCTCATCAACGATTTAAGCAATTTCTTTGTATTTGATTCTGTTCGAAGGACTTGCAACAAAGAAAGAAAAAACAGGTGAAAACGATGCAATCCGAGTCTGTCGAAAACTATAGAGTATCAAAAATTCGTTCTCTCAAATACTTACAATTCGTGCTGGCCAATTTTTTCAGGCATTGCCATCGCCGAGATCTTACTGAAAATTTGCATGGGCGTGACCAAGTGACGTCACTGTCCAGCAAGAAAAATCGCAACGAAAACAAGAGCGCGGACGAGGGTGGGAAAAAATCGCGCGAGTCGAGAGAATCGAGAACGCCGGAACGAGAGGATTGGCGCGTCGAAGATTAGCGGGAACGAAAAATCGCTGGTTGAATGTTTGCCACATGGAACGCGTCGCGGGTTCTCGAACGGCTGACGGTTTACGGAAGGCGTCGCGGCGCTCGGAAAGACTGCGAGCGGAAGCGGGGTCAGGGGGTGTGGGTGGCACGGGTCGACGCGCGTGTCGTCGCTCGAAGCCGGCAGTGAAAATGGTTTGTGCCAGAAAGTCTCGGATAAGTTAAACACGGGCCGCGGTCCGGGGGCGTCGTAAAGCGCCGCGGCGCCTCGGTGTTTACAGGGAGACGTCGAGGCCCACCAACCGCGTCATCCCTTTCCATCGACACCGATCGTTCGGTCTTTCTCGCGCCGGTGCGTCGCGGCGCGGCTGCCGGGCGTCGCGTCGATTCACTCTACTTGCTCGGCCGTCTATTTTCGGCCGCGTGACAAATCTTCTATGCCGGCCGGATTTATCGAGCGACATTCTGGCCCGTGCCGTGCCCATATGGTGGCCACGCGAGCTATTTTCGACGCCGAGGTGCGATCCCTGCCTCCCTTCGACAAGTGTAACCACTCGGACACCGTAATTCCGCGTTGCCGAACCGAGGCCCGATTTATCGCGACACGTTCCATCAAAATTGCTCTATGCTCGCCGGATCATTCGCTTTTATTCAAGATTCCTCCTGGAAAATGGTACATGGCACTTAATTGCAAATTTTGCGCATCGGAATCGATGCTCGATTTATCGCGACACTTTCCATCAAAATTGCTCCATGCTCGCCGGATCATTCGCTTTTGTTCAAGATTCCTCCTGGAAAATGGTACATGGCACTTAATTGCAAATTTTGCGCATCGGAATCGATGCTCGATTTATCGCGACACTTTCCATCAAAATTGCTCCATGCTCGCCGGATCATTCGCTTTTGTTCAAGATTCCTCCTGGAAAATGGTACATGGCACTTAATTGCAAATTTTGCGCATCGGAATCGATGCTCGATTTGTCGCGACACTTTCCATCAAAATTGCTCTATGCTCGCCGGATCATTCGCTTTTGTTCAAGATTCCTCCTGGAAAATGATACATGTGCAATAATAGTAAACGTGCTATAGAATAAGTCAAAATAAGAAAGCACTTAATTGCAAATTTTGCGCATCGGAATCGATGCTCGATTTATCGCGACACTTTCCATCAAAATTGCTCCATGCTCGCCGGATCATTCGCTTTTGTTCAAGATTCCTCCTGGAAAATGGTACATGGCACTTAATTGCAAATTTTGCGCATCGGAATCGATGCTCGATTTATCGCGACACGTTTCATCGAAATTGCTCCATGCCTGCCATATATAATTGTCCTAGATTGATGTCATTCTATGTGAAAAGTGATGGATAGTAAAAAATTCGGTATTTCGAAGTTCAGATAATCGGTTTCAATGTAGTTTAAAGTTGGCAGAGTTTTAGATTCCACGAAAGCGTTCGAAGGCAATATTGTTCAGGTCTTTGATAAATAGGCAGTTACAGAGATAATCGTAATTAGTGGACTGTGGATTTTGCGCATTAATGACGGAAACGAGTAAATCAAATACGAAGTAGGAGACACATTTAAAAAACGTAAAAATATTACTAAAAAAATAACGTAAAAATATTACTAAATCGTTGAAAAAAATATAAACGAATGTCTACACGGTTCGTGCAGTTCGCAATAAATGCAGACAATTCTTATTTCGCATAAAAATCTAGCAACAAGTAATAAGACTGTTTCTTACGAAATAAGAAATATCAGTTTGAGAAATATCAATTTAGGCCGGAAGTGCGGCGATTTTCGTTTGTAAGCACGGTGGTCTGCAACTGCGTCAGGATAACAAGAGTTTTACGACTGTTATTACATTATACTGTCCTCGGAGCTCGCGACGTTAAACGGTATTTAGCCTCGATTTACGTTTCCCTCGAATTTATCGTCGAACCAGCTCTGTAAAACGGTCCACAACGTTTGCCCAATTATTGCTCGGTATTCAGGCACGCCAATTAAACGGGGCTTCTATTAAAGTTTTATAAGACCTAACAACCCCGTGAGACGAGGAACGGGAGCGGTCCTTCCTGTCGCGCGAACGGCCCAGAAAAAAGCGAAAACGAAAGGAGATCCACGGAGCAGGGAGCAACCGCGATCGGTTACAACCGGACGCAGGCCGCGCAAGCGAGTCCAGCCGATTAAAGAGTGCTGCGTAACGAGTGTTTCGCCCGATCGTTCGTGTAATTAATGGCGGGACAGTGCGCCCGGACAGGCCGCGCCGTGTAATAATCGGTAATTACTCACGGTAATTAAATAATGCGTTTATCGGTGTGCAATCAGCTGGATGGGTGGCCCGAATCGCGCTGCTCCGCGCTCCGCTCTGCTCCGTTCTGCTCCGCTCTGCGCGCTGATCTTCTCTTCCTTCGATCCTCTAACTGGCCAACGCTCTCTCGATAAATCTTTTCCACTTTGCTGGCCACGCTGCCATGCTTTGCCGCAGCGTATTTTTCGCCGCTGAAGAGACCAGGCTCTGTCCTCTACCTAAAAATATTCTTCTAAAATCCTCGATGTAATTGCTGGAATAATAATATCGCGTTCAAAGAAAGTAAATCGGTAAATTCTTATTGCATTTTTCGACAGGTCTGCGTTGATCGCAAGATAACAATTCTTACGTACACAAGCATTTTTCTTCTTAATAGTTCTAATCACCGAGAAAAAAAAACATTTGAAATGTAAAAATACCAGCTAGTCGAGTTCAGTTAGGACTCTGGTTCCAACAAAAGATCTTCAACAAGATTCATTCACCCGAAAAAACATTCAAAAGTTATTAATAAACTCTCCAAAAATTCTCCAGGAAATGTTAACCTCTTCTTTCGCCAAAAATGTCTTCGAATATAAAAAAATAAAATATTAATTCATAAAAAAATAAGGAAATATTAAACTTAGAAGGATTTAAAGAAACGCGCTATTATTACAATATTTATTACCATTTAATTTAGTTCGAAGAAAGTACTAAAATTAAGAGTGTTGTGATAAGTAAACTACAAATTTATATGCAAAATAAAAACTGTCTGCATTGATCGCAAGACGCAACAGCTACATACATATTTATTTTCCTTCATAGTAATTCTAACGAGTTGGAGGATGTATAAAAGTATTTGTAAATTCTTTAAATATGTTTACTATATTGCATTTGGACTATTTTCCGCATAAATGCATAAAATCCGCAGTCTAGTGATGACGCTTTTCTATTCTAAAGAAATTTTGAAGCAAACAATGAATATAAACTTACGTTTTCATTTTACTAGAAATCAGTTCGAACGATATCACTAGATCGCGGATCTTCATGCAAAACCAAAATTGTCTGCATCGATCGCAAGACAGGTGACAAGCACAATTTCTTTTTTTACTCTAACAATTATAATAAGTTCAAATTAACGCATCAACGTTCTTAGCTTGTTTGCATCTTTCCATCGTTCTAGATTCTACTTACTCGTTTCTGCTGTAAATGCATACAATCCGCAGTCTAGATATCACTATGAAACAAATGACGTTATTTCAGCCGGAAACGCTACAGCCAATAACGCATGAAGACGTCCAGCTCCTCTGTCCCCAACATTTGTCAGGTCTGGTCAGCTTTTGCAAACGTCGCGAATATTCCCCTTGTATGGAATCAAACGATCGCAGTTCGGTCTGAAACCATGAGAAGCTCATACTCTGTCGGCCTCGCGAAGGTTCGAGCTCAAACGTAAATTGTGCCTACCGTATTCAAGAAATGTGTGGGTTCGTTCAAGAAATCATTCGCTGTCCGAATCGATGGATTGAATCTGATTGATTTGGTTAGCTCGCGTTTCCATTTCTCGTGTCACACGACGCCGACAAAGAAGGTCCACGGGAATGATTACGACGCGACGCGAGGATAAAGTGGGCGGCTTGTAGAGGTTTGAAGGGTTTGTTTGACCGCAGAGGAGGAGAAGATGTCGTGCGGTCAACAGGCTGTTCCTCGGATTAATGTGTCGCTTCCTATCGCCGGTGATTGACAGTCCCGAGACCGCGACAAAGCGCCGACTCTTAACGCTATTCTTCTGTCTCCTCTTCATTGTCCTCCCTGCCTTTCGTCTGCGGCTTTTGTCAACCCTGGCAGTCAGATGCTGTCTGGCTCTAAAATATCGTAGAATACAAAATCGCGAATGTACTTTAATCGAACATTTTATCTGTCCATTCCATACGCAGGGAAGAATTATATAAATCTTCATTGTTGGCGTTTCTTAATATTTTGAGAACCGCGCCAACAGGCTCAAAAGTTTCATAAAATTAAAATATTTGAGTTAATTCAATTGCAATTTTAAAGTTAAATTATATCAATCAATTATATCAATCTCTTTTTCAGCATTCTTACCACTTCCGGTAAGAAGTAAATTAAGAAATTAAAGAAATTAAAAAAGTAAATTAATTAACTAAATATATATATTACTTCGACAGCTGCGTCACCCTTACGTCAGTGACAGAATTATTTAAGATCAATTTTTTACGCTGATCCATTGTAATGTCTTAATTTACTTTTTTAATTTCTTTAATCTCTTAATTTATATATGTATATGTATAACACAAAATTTATCCTATTTATATTATTAATGCTGTATAGTATAACTGCACTATTAAAAAAGTGTATCACAATTACACTATTTTAATAGTGCAATATATACATGTTTATACATATATATGTCTATACATCATTAATAATATAAATAGGATAAATGTTGTTAATAATATATTTGGTACATTTTAAGAAAAACCTGCGCGCTCTCTCTCTCTCTCTCTCTCTCTCAATCGATTTTTATAATATAAATTATTGCGGAATCATGTGACGGAACTCCGGCCGACACTGTTGACAATTTCAGTGACGCTTCACTAAGAAATATTAGACAGAATTATTTATCCAGTTATTAAAATTAACTTCAAACGAAATCATTTATCGGCGCGACTATTGCTGTAAAAATTCCGTTGTATCTCAATAGATACGCACTTGTAATTTCTATAAGAAATTGCTTGTCTGTCGCAGAGGAAATCTCGCAAAAAACTCAGCACGTTGGATAAAATTTCCGAATCGGTCAGCCAGCAGTAAAAAATTAATTACGAAGCAGTTAAAATAAGCTTATCTATCGCCCGATAGTGGGAATCGTTTCGGTATATTTCTCGGAACAATTCCACTGTAATCGTATCGCTGACGTCCCAACAAAAACAAAGTGACAAAAATAATTGACGAAATCCAAATCCCTTTTCTGTATACGGAATTCTTACAGTCACTACGTACAATTTCTTGATTATTAGGTTAATCGCCATGTCCGTCACCGGTTACCGACACTGTACTTTTCGTTCGAAGCGCGTCGGTCATCGGCGATCAGCGATATGAACGTAGAAAAATTATATTTCTGTATATAAATAAATTAAAAAATAATTTGGCGATCGTGAAAGAATGTACTTAATATTAATTGTTACCAGACAAAATGTTAATGAAACAACAGAACAACATGTTATCAACAGAATTATCAAAATAAACAGTTTCACAGAATCTTATAACTAAACTGCGGATTTTATGCATTTATAACGAGAATGAATAAGTCAAACACAAAACTGCGAATCCAATCATAATAAAAATTATCTAAATTAATTGTAAGAAATATAAATTGGATGAAAATATCTTTTCTCTTTTGAAAATTATAATCAGTTGAAAATAATGTAACAATGTCCTTAAATTCTTCTAATGTCTTTTCAAAGAATTTAAGCAATTGTTAAAAAAAGAAATTATTAAAGATATCTTCATCAAATTTATATTTCTTACAATTAACTTAGATAATTTTTATGTTTCATAAATTAGATAAAAATAGATATTTAGATATTTAAAAATAGATATATAGATAAAAATAGATGTTTTCATCAAATTTATATTTCTTACAATTAACTCAGATAATTTTTATGTTTCATAAATTAGATAAAAATAGATATTTAGATATTTAAAAATAGATATATAGATAAAAATAGATATTTTCATCAAATTTATATTTCTTACAATTAACTCGGATAATTTTTATGTTTCATAAAAATTCGCAATGATCAACGGAAAGGAAAGCAAAACAGGTTGAACGTGTTAGTCCGTCATAAAAGTCATCTTGACAATCTCTCGGCAATAATGAAAAATTATAGATACCAATTAATATAATAGCGTTAGTACTATTAAGAAGCTGCTCCGCATGGAAAGGCGCGCAGGTGAAAAAATCGTGAAACCCTCAGGTGGAATCGCTTTCCAGTCGATCCCGTGGGTCCGCCGGCAATTAGTCGGGCTAATTAGATGAAGGTTTAATTGCAGGGAGCGAGCTGGCCTGTCTCCTAGGTGCAATTCCCCGCATATTTACATCCCCCGCGGGACGGGAGTGAAACGGGCATCGGAACGGGAACATTGTCCAGGAAAGGGTGTACTACATAAGGCGGGAAAGGAGCGCCTTTCTGAACCCTTTTGCTGTTCGCCGTTTTACCGGTCCCGCCGGCCGTCTTAAAAGAAAGGGTTAATTAAAAACAACAAAAGCTATCCGCGCCATTAGCGGCCGTTTGTATGCGCCGCGTTAGCGTTATGTCCGGTGCTTTTCGAGCTACAAGCACCCTTTCCGTCGACGACCTTAACGAGTTCGAAGCTGCGTCACGACCCCCAAGAATTCTCCCGGTGTAGCTCCTTTCATTTCTCCCTCCGCCCTCTCGCCCTCACCCTTCCGCCACGAACGCCGTCGACCAAGGATCAAAGTGGAAATTGTTCCCCGATGGAATTATGAAACGGGACTCCTCCCTTTTTCTCGCTCTATCAAGACGTTTGACTCCGAGTAATCGCATCCGCCGCTGAATTATGCTTCCAGTTGCCTGGTAAACGTTCTACTCAAGGTGCTCAACCGACTCAGAAAAATACAGCTATACAAACATTAGAATTTATAGCGATTACTGGAATATATAATGTACAACTTGGGATTAACCCTTTCGCATCGCGTGACGGGCAGTGCGGACAATGCAAAGTGTCACATCATTTGCAAAAATTTGTTTCGAAACATTTCATTATATTTTATATTTTCATTTTTTATGAGAATTATATTTTATTTATGTTACTGGATCAGTTATTTATTTGTCAGTTGTCAGTATTTATTAAACTCGATCAGTCTGACCCAGCGTATTTAAGTCGTCTACTAATTAGTTTATGAGAATCGAATTAAATAAATTGATGTTACGCTACAGAACAACAGAAACGCTAATAAGTTTCGAAAAAATGTTTGGAAAAATTGATAAATGAAGTTGAGGATCGTCCTGAACATTGTCAATTGTATAGAAATGGTCCACTATCCGAGGATTAACACTAAACCTACCGAGTCGGTCAAAATGACCGGTTTTACATTTTGTATTTTAAAATTGCTGAAATTATAGAGACTTTTTCATAAGAAATTATTAAATGAATTTCACAGTCCGAGCATTCGTTGTAATAAAAATTATGGGAAGTCTAAATAGATTCGGTTTTATCGTTCTTACAGAGCAACAAAAATTCGTCGCTTTTAGTGCTCGGTAGGTTTAGTGTTAATCATTCTGTGTTAGTAAATTTATTTTCGAGCGATAACATTTATTCCTTCATACACGGAATTTTAAATAATATTCAGAAGGCTCTACACTTCTGGAATGCATAGTTGTATTGGGTTGGCAACTAAGTAATTGCCGATTTCACTTATAGATGTCTCTCACTCCCATTTTTATGATATTCGTAATTGTTATATTATAAAATTATTATTATGTTATTTTTTATTATCCGTGAATGTTAGCAACTGGACAAATTGAATGCAGCGGTCAAGGAAAAGCGACCAGAATTGGTCAATCGTAAAGGTGTCATTTTCCAGCAGGACAATGCTAGGCCGCACACGTCTTTGTCCACTCGGCAAAAATTGATGGACATTGGTTGGGAATTGATGTTACACCCATCATATAGCCCTGATCTCGCGCCATCGGATTGCCACTTATTTCGATCCCTGGACAACTCCCTTCGTGGTAAAACTTTCAACGATGATGACGCTGTAAAATCTCACTTAACTCAGTTTTTGGCCGAAAAGGATCAGACTTTCTACGAGCGTGGAATTTTCAAGTTGTCAGAGAGATGGCAAAAGGTCATCGAACAAAATGGAAAATACATTACAGATTAAACTTCGTTCCAAGTAAAAAAAAATTTTTTATTTCATTGAACAAATCGGCAATTACTTAGTTGTCAACCCGATACTTTCAAGACTGTACATTGCCAAGGCAGGGAAATTATTGTGAATTTCGGAAGGATGGTGGTTAATGAAACGAATGAAATTCTAGCAAATTCTGCTACCGCGAGATCAATATCCATAACCGTATCAATAACTTACAATGATCATCCGAACCAGACCGAGTAGAAGAGAGTCCAGAACTTGAACACACTGAAGAAATAAAATATCGCGAATCCCGCGTCGCAACGAATGGAAACGCAGCTAGCTGTGGAAGCGAACGGAAAGTTCTCGCGGCGAATTAGGGTCGAGCGAGGAACGAGAAGCTCTATCCGGCTGCGTCAGCGAGCACGGTATTGTGTCAGCGATTTTCGCAGAAACTTTATCGTCCGTGTGTCTCTGTCACTCGTCAGCGGTCGCGTTCGCCTGCGGGATAAGTTAATAGATAACCCGAGCGAATTGTTCGTCCGCGTTCGTCAAGTTGTCGGACAGGTGTTCCGGCGAGCGACTTCGGTCCTATCTGGTCCGCTTTCACGCGAGCGAACGCCGCGCCGCACCGCGCGCCGCTCCATTCCGCTTCGCTCCGCGCCGCGCCGAAACAGGCCAGCAGACACGAGTTTCGCGTGTGGTCGCGGAAACCAAAACGTTCCCTCGGCTTGGTAATCGCGGCTCCGGGGATCCACGTAGCACGCAGCCGAACTTTCAACCAACAATTTTAGCGCGCGGCTCGTGCAATTTCGAAAAAATAGCATCGCGTGCTTAGGGACCGTCCAGTCGGTGTCTTCGACGAACTCGGAACCTACAAAAACCGTTCGCAGCTTCTTCCCACGGGGAAAAAGGAAGGAGCAACGCGGCCGAATACTTTGTAACGCTGGTTCGTCCTCGACGCACGCGTGATTATCGGTCCCGGGGTAATTGAGTTACTCTCGCCGGCCGTTTTAGGATGCGTCCCGATTAATTGTTTCCGCTGAAACGCGGATCGTTCGCGTTAATATTCCCCGTAATGGCCGGACCATCGGCGATTTTATTGCGAACGAGATCGTCGGGCATTCTGGAAAAAGTTCGTTTAACCCCTTCGCAGTTTATCCCGTGCGAGACTCGGGCAGAGCGTCACATGTCGAACTGTTTATTCCCAGCCAGGCTCGGACAGGGAGTCGTCACACTGTTTATTCCGAGTGAGACTCGGCGCCATGAATGCGCGATAGTTATTTAGATTAACGTAAATACGTGATACACTTTTACGCGTGTCTGTCTCTGAACCTGCAAAACGATGCAGAGATTGACGTTCGAAAAAATTTAGCGACAAGATAAGTACTACTACTCGGATTGCAATGTGGGATTAGGTTAGGTCTAGGTGTTTTAAACAACCTGTATAAAGGATGTATAATATGATATATTAAAGTATATCACAGTCGACGAAATTATTAAACTGGTGTTTGCAAAATAAATTTTTGTACACCTTTTATCGCATACAGTATCTTGTTATAAGATAACATAATTATACATTCTTTTGGACAGAAAAGTCAAGATTTATTAAACCGATTAGAAGTTTAGGTACCAACTTCGGGTACGAACCTTCTTCAAATGCAATCTTCGAACCGCAGATCTTCGTGAATTTATGGTACGTGTTAGTAACAGATTTATTCTATTTCTATCGCACAAAATCATCTGATTGGTAAACGAAGTTTCTTTAAATAATTTATCAAAGTGAAAATCTGTCTAGTAATAATAAGTCAAGCCTACCAACAAGGTAAAAATATTGAACAATTACATTTAGAAGCTCGTCAGATTCATGACTTTGTCACAAAATGTTTTATTAATACTCGATTGCGATAGAACTTCGATTATCCGAATTCAAAATTAATAGTGAATTTCCTTTAATTTTCGATAAATTATTAATATAATATTGTAAGATGATAGGTCGAGGTTTAATCGAGATCCTTCTACAGTTTCATCGTCATTACTTGGAGTAATCAAAAATCTAAATAATAAAGATCGAGAAAAATCCTGTTCCGTTAATCGAGGTTCTATCGTAATAACCCAGTAGTACCGAAGTCAGGGTTAAAAGATTCGAAGAAAACTGATGAGAATCGAACGAATACTCTGGCTAACACCGTGTAGTCCCGCGCAGCAGGAATTCGATCGACGATGATCGACATTCGAGTGAGTAGTTAAGACTTTATTGGCCGGCAGGCGTAAATCTGTCGTCGGTGTCTTAAATATCGCGATAGGGTGAGACGGGGCGAGTAAACGGACAATTTCATAAGCAAATCTCGCGACGCTCGTAAATGTTCTTCCGCGAGACGTTGACTCTGGTTCACCGTGACGCACCGTTGCCGCCGTAACGAAGCGCGCTATAAAAGACGAATGATCCACGAAGTAGTTTATTTGGGGAGCGTATCAATTCCAGAATTTTATAGACTTCCTCGATCGTTAAGCTGGAATCACAAACGGCGCCCAGGCCCTTGATCTTCTCCTTTTTCACCTTCGATTTTATCTCCCGATCGCGTTTATTTTTTCTTTCCGAAATAATGCTTCTGCAACCGGATACGTCAGATTAATATTGTATTATAAAATACCGATCACGTGTTAATGTAATTTTAGTGAATCCGTTGCTTCGTTGATCCATTGAGCTATGACAACGTGTCAGAGTTGTGATGGAGATTTCATACATGACCTATTAAATGTGAACTTCGTTTACATTTCTTCTAAATCGAAGGAAAATTTGATTCTTCTGTCGTTAAAATCTGGGAACGAATGTAGATGAAGACATGCAAAAAACAAAAATTCTGTCATTTTTTTAGGGAAATTATTAAGAATGAAACGGTGGTAATTAACATAGCTGGGACAGAAATCGCAACGCAAGGGATTGAATACGTCAAAAGAAGAAGATTGAAGATTTTTTAGAAGAAAATTGCGAAATATTACTAACCCATGAAATGATTTAACACCGTTGATCGAACGATTGATTGGGGATTGATTGATCAAAGAGGAAGATTAGGCTATGTTTTCGAAGTTGAGTATCAGAAATTCTCAATTAGGCGAATAGCAAGTGAAGAGTACAAAATTGTAGTGAAAAATAATAAATTTCATTGACTTATCGACCAATTAAAAGTTAAAAATGTGATGTTTGGACAAAGAGAAAGATTAGGCTACATTTTGGAAGTCGAATAGGTGTCGAATAGGTGCCTATTCTATTTTTGCTGTATTCGCAGACGAATAGCAAGTGAAGGCAAAATAGGATAATAGAAGAATAGGCAAAGAGAGAATAACGTTGAGGAAAACGGTCTCGCGAACAGGAGGAGCAGTATCAGCAGCCGATTTGCATTTTATCGTTTCTGGGACAAGCTAATTGGCCCCGGGGAATTGGTTGCGCCCGCAATTTACCGGGTTGCTCCGATAATGCCTCCTCTGTCCCCATTTCCCGTTCGCGTTTCTTGTCAACCCGAAAACACTGTGCACCATTCGCGGTGTTCCGTATCACTCCCGGGGCCACCTGTAATTACGGGACCCTGCAATTTACACCGACTTCCGGAGATCATCGTTCACCCTACCGGCCTTTCTTTCTCGCGATCCTTCTCGTGGATTCGCGCAAACGGATAATGGTGTTCCGTGAAACGAAACGAAACGCGGTGTTTACGAAACAATTCATAAAGGTGCGGTTGAGGAGCTCTGACACGGGAAATTGAATCGTTGAATATCGAACGATGGGCCGCCGCTGTCTTCTCGTCAGTGAGTCACGGCAGTTCTTTTTCGTGTCGTTATATGCGGTATTGCCGTATTCCGGAGAGATCGTTGAAATTGTCTGTATTTATCGAAGTCCGTCTGGATGCTTCTTCTTATACTTATCGCTCTGCGGCTTGCTGTTTCAACACTGTCAAACCACCACGCCAAATGATCCCATAAAGTCTTAATGATTCACCAGGCGTAATGAAAACTGCGGAGGCAAGGTTTATCGTACTGTACGCTCTTTTAATTCTTTTATTTTTTTCAAGAAATCCAAATGAAATTGCATTTAGGTATATGTTAATGCATTACTGGAAAAATTCATGTATAAAAGAAAAATTCGCTTCTAAAAGAAAAATTCCTTTCCAAAAGAGAAATTCATTTCTCTACCTGGACACATCGGGTATTATCGTCCACACAATTTCTATCCGCAATTACTGTCTTCCATTAATATTTTCATAATCTTTAATCTTTAGACCGCCGGCACGATGCCATATGGAGCCACTAATATAGCACTACCGTAGTTCGGAGAACACGTAGTCCTCTTTCATCTGACTCGATTTGTGAGAACAAATATTTAGGAATCTAATATATTTAGGAATATTTAGGAATAAGATATTTCTTCCTAAAAATCGAGTCAGATGAAAGAGGACTAACTATTCTCCAAAATACGATGCGATATTATTAACACCATAAGACAGGGGTGTCAAACTCGCGGCAAGCGACCCGAGATGAACATTTTTGCGGCCCAGTCAATATATCCGACGCAAAGTAAAAATAAAATAGAAATGTGAATTAGAAATTTCGAAAGTAGTCTCGGCCAATAAAATTTCTCTCGAAATAGAAAAGATGTCAAGTATCAGGACGTAAACAATAATTTAACTTTATATATGTGTTTATTACAATGTACTAGTCAAAATAAAAATATTTGTTTCTATGAACATTGATTCTTTTTTGCGGCCCACCTAAAGTTAAGCATTGTTTATTTGACCCAAGTTAGCTTTTGAGTTTGACATCCCTGCCATAAGGTAAGCTGCCAGCAGCCTAAGGGTTAAAGCAGGGTGATTCAATGGACTTCGGACATTTACGCAGATGCAGATTTTCAGCCCATGGGAATTATTGGATTCGGAGGAGAATCTCGTTGCTCTTTCGGGGCCGCTGTCGCGCTCGGAGAATCGCGTTTCGGGGATCAATAACGAGACCGTCGAGGTGGCAGCTCGTTTCTCGATCTCTGCGGTCGGCCGCAGAAGGCATCGGGAAATAACAGGACCGAAGTTGTTATGACAGTCAGCGGCGGGCAATCCATCACCGAGATTTGGTCTCCACGGGCCGACCGCGGACCAACTTATCCAATATTTAAGGTTTTGTCCCTCGCGGCCGGCCTGATATATCACTCGCATTAATATATATTTGCGGGGGAGATAACTCTGGTTACAGGACCAAGGGGGAGGGGCGGGGGTGGATAGTGGCGATACTGGCCGGTCGCATAAACGGCGACCGACGTTCGCAGCCGCTTCG